GGGGGGTTAAAATGTATCGGAGAAAGCAAGACGGTTTTTACAAATATTTAATTTTTAAACATACTTTCTTTCTTTCTTTTTCTTTCTTTTTTTTCTTTTTTTCTTGGTGCCCGCCATTTGAACCACCACCCACTGTAAAATCGTAGATGCGGCAACACTGGTGCAAATTGAAAAGATTTCGAAGAATCATCTTTTTGATTACTGCATTTTGATCTCACCCATCCGTGACGAGATTTTTTCTCTGCCATCTCCATGTAGATATTGAGCATTGGGAGGAGGTCCGCAGGGGGGGGGGGGGGCGGCACTTACCGTGACAAGGTCCACTGAGCAATCTATACAAGAGTTAGGGTTAGGGTTATGTTTGTTTGTTTTTGTACAGTGTTTTACGGCGCTCGCAACTGCATAAGGTCATATGAGCGCGCGGGACACACCTAATATTTTCAGTTGGTAGGAAATTTTGAATTTTTGCCCGGATGGTGGCCGAAGCCTACTCTTATCGAATTTAGACCATCAAGGGATCTTTAACGTGCGCAACTTGCACACGGGCCCTCCGAGATTTTTCGCCCTTGTCCGAGAAGGCTAGGAGTAGATCTTTCCTACCAGAAGATCAGGGGTGTGGCAGAAAGACAGCAGTAAGGAGGAGCCAAGGAGTAGCAGTAGAAAGGCTGCAGAAAGAGTCAAGAGCCCAGAGGAGGGGGCAAAAGAGGTGAGAGGGTGGGGACAGAAAGTGGAAATGAAAGCAGACAACAGAACATTGCTAGAGAGCAGGAAAGGAGATGAAAGGAGACAATTTTAGAGAAGAAATTTTTTTTCGGTCGCTACCCGGATTCGAACCCAGAGCCTTTTGAATGAGAGGCCATCACCTTAACCTGTAGGCCACGAGAACCCCCCGGTTAGGGTTAGGGTTTTGGGTTAAGGTTAGGGTTAGGGTATACCTCGCTCAAAATATCCCCTCTTTCGTGTGTTGTTGGTCGGCCAGCCCTCTGTGGAACTCCTTCCATTTTTATCAATTACATAATCTGGCCACATAAATAGATCAAATGGACTAGACGAACTGCTGTCGTTGTAGGGTTTTTTAAATTAAGTTTTAGTAAGAGTTTTACGGCGCTCGCAACTGCATAAGGACGTGATGAAAGATAGAGTGAAAGAAGAGCAGAGGAAGACAAAGAACAACACACTCAGATGACCTGACCTACTTTGCAACGAATGACACGAAGAGAAAAACCGAGCTGGTCAGGAAGACAGACGACAGGAAGGAGTGGGCTACATACCATGATCGTCAATGTCTGCTCCAGACCAGACACCGGATGAAGAAAAGAAGTATCTGGGGTAGGCCAGGGCAAGATCGACTCTGGGATCGATTCTTTCGACTCCAAATGAGGACTCAAAGAATCGATCTTGTTCCATGTTCCCAGACTCTAAGCTTCGACTCCGCCCAGGGTCGACGCCTCCCGTCTCCTTTTTTTAAAGCCTGGTTCCTAGCCTAGACTCCGAGAATCGAGGCAAGAATCTAAGTCTGTACCTCACTATTACAGTCCTGTCGTGGGATAGGCCTAGGCCTAGGGCTGTCCCACCCCACAGTCGAGTTTTTTGCTTCAAAACAGACACCGCACCAGGACGGGACTGATCCGGCGCATAAGGCGGCTTCTTTGATGTTGGCCTAGGCGGAGTTAAAAATGCATGCCAAAAATTTCTTAAATATTGGCCAAATTTAAGAAATAATAAGATTTTCGTGATCAGCGACCCAAAATTTGCATTAGTTACGCGGGGAACCCATTTTAAGGCCCGATTACCAAGTTAAATTAATTGTTTTGAGTTTTGTTTACTTAGGTTGTTTTTTTCACTATTTGAATTCGGCGTGCACTAGGCCTTGATAGTGCAAGAGAGAAGGAGCCTGTGCCCCACGCATTGGCAAGAGTGATAGAAGGGAGGCAACACACACACACACACACACACACACACACACACACACACACACACACACACACACACACACACACACACACACAGACACACACACGCACTGGCCCACGTTGTACAAGCATGAGAGCCCCCCACCCCCACCCCCGAAAAGGGCAACAATGTACAAGAGTGAACTAATCGTGAACTAATCGTGAAATGTCAAAGTCTGGCCATGGGTTGTATCCTTCTCTCTCTCTCTCTCCCTCC